TTTATTTCAGCCGTCTCACTCATCGCTCTGTCTTTGAGCTGTCCCCCCGGTGCCCTTTCCCCAACGGAGCTTACAGTTTTCAATCAGCACTTCCCACTCACCGGGACCGTCCGGATTTCATGTGCCTCAGCCCAAGCGGCCTGACAATAGCTGGACGTGAGCTGAACACCGCTCCAACTGAAGCCAGAGACTCTGAGTGCACCTACTGTATGATATAATTACAGAGATGACAGTGTGAACTTGCACTGGAATTTAGGGAGGAATTCACCATGAATGAATTGTGCCCTCTGATAGTGATTTGCATTTGCTGTCTGTCTGCATTACTTTAGCACCTCATCCACTAAAGGAATTATGCAAATCAAGAAAAGGCCCAAACCTCATGGGTTGTGAGCATTAAGTGGTGGAGGATGCATCAAATATTCATACTATCATTCTTTACTGAGACTGTAGAGCATTACAACAATATAATCACCTGAAATGTCTACTTAAAATGCAGAAAATCCCTCCTGACTACATAACACATCTGGATATGGGCTGTTGATGAATTATTGCTGTCACGGCAACAATAATATGTACACAGGATGCAGGCCATCAACCAAAAAAAAAAGTGGCATGAAGTGAATTTGTCACTTTTCTTTTCTTTATTTACGTGCAGAGGAAAGATTTAAAATCTTATATTGGTGGCAAACCCAAGCAAAATGCTTTAATCTAAAACAAAACAAAACAAAACAACACAAAACAAAACAAAACAAAGCTAAACAAAACAAAACAAAACAAAAAACAAAACAAAAAACACAAAACACAAAACACAAAACAAAATTTTGGGAACATAATTTAACAACTGGATCTTTATTTACTGTGTTCAAAAATCAACACTTCACTTTGTAGTAACTGTGACAATGTAGTAAAGTGTAAAATTTTCTTAAGTGTCAAACTCCTAAAACTTTATTTATTTGCAAAAGGAAAGATTTTAAGTCTTATTTTGGTCACAAATCCAGCCAAAAAACAAAACAAAACACACATATCAAACAAACAAACAAACAAACAAAAATCTATCATTTAAAAGTAGTTCATATTTGAAGTTTACCCTATTTTTCCTTCATTAAACCCAATTTTAGGGTCTGCTAAAGACCAGGAGTCCTGGAAACATGTTTATTTAAATTACATTAAAATAATTAAATAACGATAACTAATACAATAATAATAATTAAAATATTGAATTATTATGGACTTACACTATTACATAATTCTAATGTATTTGAAAAGTCTATGCTGATCAAGGCTGCATTTATTTATTGTGAAATATTATTTCAATTTACAATCGTTTTCTATTTGAATATATTCTAAACTGTAATTTATTCCTGTGATGCAAAGCTGAATTTTCAACATCACTACTCTAGTCTTCAGTGTCACATGATCCTTCAGAAATCATTCTGATATTCTGACTATTTGTTCATATCCATATACAAAAGTTATTTGCAATAAATAAATAAATTAATAAATAGCAACACATTCTGTACTGGAATACAGCAGCCAGACACCATGCCTTCATAACACTGTTTACATAAGTTTGCCAAATGACTCATTCCTCTTCTGACAGCACTCCTCTGGGAATTCCTGAAGAACATTTCCTTGAATATAAAGTCATCATGATATGTCAACATTTCTGTTGATAACAAATGCACGTGTGTCTACCACGCACTAAACCACACACTCTCAAACAAATACACTGAATACAAGCAACTTCAGATTACAGGTGAAGTGGTTCTCTGCTTAAAGATAAATAAATAAATAAATGTCTACCTATATCTTAAAAGGTCAGCAGTGTGCTTCATGTTGACAGTCTGATGCCGTTATTATTATTCTGTATCGCAACTCTCTGCATTCACAAAATACACTCCATCAAAACTAACTTTCAAAATCGGCTAACAGCACCAGATGGTGTAGTTTCCAAATGCAAAAATGCCACATATTAAGAAAATCTTGACTGTTTACACCACTGACAGACACTGCTTATCATAGTAAACAGCTGTCAGAGAGGGCCACATTCTCAGTAGCCAGCAAACATGTGGCAGCCCATCAAGTTTGGTGGGCTGTGGCAGATGGATTCATGGAAATGGCAGAAATGCTTTGCCATTCAGCAAAGAAATATGTCCTGTTAGCCTTTTCCCTTTAACTTAAAGGGATAGTTTATCCAAAAATTAATGTGAAACACACACAAGAAATCCTTTGTTTATACTAAAAGTCAATATAGTCCAAAACAACAAAACATTGGGCCCCTTTGACCTTCACTGACAGACAAAAAAAAAAAAAACAGGACAAAACAACTGAGATATTCTTCCTTTGTTTTCCACATGAGAAAGTTATAAAAGATGCCAGTGAACTGGACCAAAACAACAAAACACTGGATTCATTTGACTTTCACTTTGCAGACAAAAAACTAAACAAAACGCAAAACTTCCTTTGTTTTCAGGATGAGAATGTTATTAAACATGCTAGTGAGCTGGTCCAAAACAACACTGGACTCATTGCACGAACAACAAAACAAAACAAAACAAAACAAAAAAAATTTTTCTGCATGAGAAAAAAACATTATCAAACATGTTAGAGAGCTGGTCCAAAACTACATTGGACTCCATTGATTTTTATTGTATCAACAAAAACAAAACAAAACAGAACATATATGCATTATTTAAAAAAAACCACTCTATTCTACTCTATTTCTATTCTATCTACTTTTTTTTGTGTGTGTATATATGTGTGTATAATATATACATATATATACTGTATATATATATATATATATATATATATACACACACACACCTTGCTACGTGTACTGCGTTAGGCTAACC